TCTGCGAATTTTTACCCCTACACAAGCCAACTTGCTAGGGACTTAAATATCAATCATGGCGAAAAGATTTGTCTTCGGCTTAAGAAATCCTCATGATGAAAAACAGTTCATTCGTCTAGAACAAGTCGTTGATACTATGCTTCATGAGTGAGTTATCTGGCTTAAACCTGAGTTTGTTTCGGTCTCCTTGGGTATTGATCTATATATCAGGCTATGTCACATTGTCCACGGACCTCATAACCAACAGTTTCACGCCCTTTGGAATCAGCTTCGTGATGAACATGAACAGCTTTTACGAAAGGGGTATACTGGCGAGGGATTCCTTTCAGAAGGACACCGCCTTGGTGGCAAAAGGGTGCCGCTTGACGAAGCCCGGAGGCGGGCGCGAGCCGCGGCTGAAAAGCGCCGAGTACTAACGGCAGGGTCCGGACAGAGACTAGGAGGGATGCCCGTCCGCCAAGGAGTTGATATGAGGAGGGTTATCGCAGACGCAGCTGACAGAAGGAAGAAAGTAACCGAGGGTTGTGCAAGCGGTACAAAAGAAGGAGAGAAATTGGCAAACGAGGCTTCACAGAACGCGTTCAGAACAAAGGCGGAAGAAGAGGATGCCAATGAACGCGCAATTATGCAGGCATATATTGAGATGATTCAAGAAGAGGAAAGGGAGCAATACGGAAACTCATACCTTCCTCCAAGCGCTGCGAACCCAGCGGGACCACGATCTATCCAAAAACCCCCTATTCCCGAAAGTACCAAACCGAAACCTAAATCCATAGCTACGCCAGAACCAGCATTAGATGATTGTGGGGACTCCTGGTCTTGCCTGGTGTGCACGCTCGTGAATCCGGCAATGTTCTTGTGCTGTGATGTGTGCGGCTCGGAGAGACCCCAAGCTTTTACTCCTCCTCCCCATTCAAGTCCTGCTTCAAATCTTTCACAGAAGCACTCACGGACCGAAAACAGCCGGTTAATTCCCACCAATAACTCAACCCAATCTCGAAGATCTGCTGCAGAGTCTCTGAGAGCTATAGATGAGCGAATGGCGAAGAGACCTCTCGGCTGGCTCTGTCACAAGTGTGGGACTTTTATGGAATCGGAGTGGTGGACATGCGCGTCCTGCGGAACTATGAAGCAGTCATCATAGGTTCAACATTTAGATCTGGCTCGAAGTAATGTAGCTTACTGATAGCACGAAGACTACCCTAGGATATAGATCTTGATTGCGCTTAAAGTAGCATTTGAAAACTTTTGAAGGATGGATAGCACGGAATTTAATACACTATGTTACGAACTCTGGAAATCTAATATATTTCCTTCTTTTCCGTGCTGAATCTTTTTTGACCTCGTTCCCATCGGATTTCGCAGGAAGGTTGGACCCTAAGCCGGAGGAATAATTTGCCGGGCTCCGCGACACTTTTGGGATTGAAGCTTTTTGGATTTTCTTTCGCTGCGAATTCAACTGCAATCAACAACAAATTATGAGACTCGAATCAAATTCTCTTCCACACTGCTTATTTTCTAAGTAAGTATTCTACCTCTCAGTTCCATATTAGGCGCGCCACACATACACCCATTCCGCAATTACATGATGACCTACCACAACCCATTACTTTAGGAAGAGCCGGAAGAGGAATGGCAGCCCATCAACCCTTACAAACAAGGGAAACTTCCAGGCAAATATGCACTGAGAAACCCGACAGAAGTGGCAAAAATAGCAGCTTCAGCTCCTGGCGCATCGTCATATGCGACCGGGATACCTGAGTTGCTCCCTCTTTGTTGGCTTTTTGCCGGGCGTATTGGTGGCATTATTTCTTTGCCTGGAGGGATGGGAACTTGCCGTCGGTGCTTAGAACGGGTTTCACTGATATCTTGATATCCGAGGGAAATAGATGTGGTGTGCTTCGCTGGTATCATTTTTCTTAACCTCTGGGTTTCGTTCTTCTTGCAAGATCTCCTGGGGGTGGAATTGTTGCTGCGAAAGTCATGCCACGTCCTTTCACTCGTGATTTTTCTTGTCTCGAGTTTTCTGGATTTAGGCTTGGAACGAAAGCTAACTGCCGTTGCTTCAGATATTTAGGGCGTATTTGTCGATGCAGACTCGGTGGAATGTGAATGGAGGACTCTGGATGGAAGGTTTACTCTCATTTGCGCGATAACATGGAATACAAGGCAGATATTCATATTAGCGAGTTGCGGCTTTCATGTGCAGCTATATAATGACAATCGAAATTCTTTAAATTTGATTTCCTTCTATAGCCTACAGTAACTATACATATATCGTGCATCTATATCCGCCCAAAAATGCACTTTAGACGTGTACTCCTGGAGATATCCAAAATAATTGACTCCGAATGCACCGGCGACACCTTTTTTCCCAGAAACATTGCATGGAACATATTCCCTTTATGCCACAGTCACGAACTGTCTCTTCTTCACCCCTCGTTGTTGCTGTTCTTCCTGTTCCCATAACTCCTCGTCAACATAATCCGATCTGCTTTTATCACGTACTTGGCCACCAATAAACTGAAGAGCAGCCAAATTATACCCCATCTCATCTTTTTGCTTAGAAAGTACCCGTCGAAGGTTCCCTCGAATACCGTCTAGCATGGGCCTCATCATCTTGCTCGCCACTATCTGTCGATGGTGCGTTTTGAGTATGAAAAATAAGATGCGGCATGTCAGCGGTATATCCCACTCTTTACCTGCCCATATATTCAGGAATGTAAAAAGGGCAGGAAGTTTGGAGAACGGGAGCACGAGAAGGGCATCCTGCAAGGATGCGGCCGGGATCTTTTGTATCGTGTTGAGGAGATATTTTTCGGCGGAGATATTCCCATATGCGAGATATAGAGGGTTGCGAGACGGCGGGGCAGCTTTAGGGTTGGAGGTTTTGCGTTCGTTGTATTCACGGATTTGCTCCAAATCCTCCAAGCCTAGTTCAAGGCCCTCAACTATCCTTTCTCCAGCTGTTAGAGTCTCCATAGTTTGCTTTCCGGCAGCCACGGCCTCTGGTTTATCCTCGCCTTCTATAGCTTCTTCTTCCTTGTCGAGGGACTCAGCAAGGTTCTGCTCATACAATTCTTCTAGCTCCTTCTCTCGCTCCTCCTCTAAAAATATTTGTTCGTCTGTTTGTTGCCAGACCCGTATACTTTTGTCGTGACTCGCAGTGACTATGAAGTCCCCGGAATGGCTTATTATTAACGCCCATATCTCCCCATGGTGGCCTTCAAGTTTTTGTATTTGTTCGAACTTGTCTCCATCCCAGTACTTGACCAAACGGTCCTTGCTGGCGCTGAAAAAGTTGTGACCATCCCCTTCCTTGTTGTGAGGCATGAATGCAACCGCCATGATACTGTCTTGATGCGCGAAGAAAGCTTTATGACAATCACCGAAATCGAGGCCCCAAAGTCGAATGTTTTTATCTGCAGAGCAGGTGACAATTAGTTTGCTATCATAGGAGATGTCCATGTTGAGGACAGGAAGTTTGTGGCCGTATAAGTTCAAAAAGAGCTTCAGGGTATCAACAAAAAAGACCTTCACAGTGTTATCCAGGAGCGAAACGGCGAGCAGTCGGGCATCTGGAGAGAATTTAAGGCTCAAAATATCATCGTTTACTTTGAGTGTCCGGATATGGACGAGCTTAAACTTGGGCATTGTGCGTTTAGTGCCTAGGATCTCTTCTTGAACGACCTCGAATTTCCAGAACTTTGCAGTTTTGTCAGCACTTCCGGTAACCATAGATTTTCCATCAGGGTGAACATGAAGTGCCCATACTGGGCCTTCGTGAGCCTGGATTGTGTCAATAAGCGTTGATGAAGCAATATCAAACACCTCAAGCTCTCCATTCTTATTCCCAACAACAACGATCTTGTCTCCGGGAAGGAAAGTAGAGCACAGAGCGTACCCACAGTCCAATGTTCGAAGGCACGTTTGAGTTCGGACATTCCAGACCTTCAAGTTTCCATTTGAGGCTGAGGACAACATCCGATCGTCTGCGCTCAAAGCCAGTGAACGTACATCAGTTCGGTGGCCTGGAATTTCAACGGACAATGTGCGGGTGTAATCAATCTCTTCTTGATCCTTTTTCTTCTTTTCTGCTGAGACGACGTTGTAAACTTCTAGCTGATTGTTTGTGGTGGCCGCGAGCAGCTGGAGTCCTTTGCCACGTATCCAATCCACTGATCGGATCTTCCCTCCGGTTCTAACGATTGCGTGCGAGACAAAAATTTCGGTTATCGGGACGGTCGCAAGAGAGTCCGGAGAATCACCAATAGGGGCAGTTTGGTCGTTCTCAGCTCCATCTTTCTCCTTTCTCCTCTTTCGCTTCCTGGCTAGGGTCTTCTGTATTTCCTTTTCACCTCGGATGCGCAATATCTCGAGAGACTTTTCAGAACCGTGAACTGCAATATAATCTGAATGTGGATGGAAATGCACGCCGATGGTTCGATCTTTGCCATGGCGATATAAGTTTCCCCTATCCACTAAAATCTTCTGCGTATTGGCTCCTTCTTTTTCTTTAGCAATCTCTTTCATAGCATTCGGATCTATCGACCAGACCCTAAGCTCGCCTTCATTCCCCGCAGTTATGCATCCACTTTGATCGGGTGACAAGCCTAGACTCCAACACTCTCCGTTACTCTGAGCAATATGGGTTTCGATGCAATGTTGAGAAGACAGATCCCAGAATTTGATCAGTGAATCTTTACCCGTACTCAATAAGAATCTGTCCTGGTCGTTTTCGGCAATGTCGTCCTCGTCAGCTGCGCCAGACAAGAAGTTAAGGGAGGTGATCTGGTCGGTATGGCCTCGTAGCTTTACCACCCCGACTTCTGCGATTAAATCCCATATAATTATATTGGTGTCCTTCGAGCCACTGGCCAACCGTGCTCCTCCCTTGTCAAACGCTAGCTGTGTGACAGCGGTTTTGTGCCCATTGAAAGAAATCATAACCGTTCCGAGCCGAGAGTCCCATAGCCGGATACTGCCATCCTCGTATCTGCGCGTAAAATTAGCACCGAAGCATGCATGGTGGAAGTGCGCAATCCATACCCAACAGCAAAAATGTCCTCGTCGGCTTTGCTTTGCGCAATGCAAGTCACTTGCGCATTGCAGTCGGAATCCCGCCATTTGGCGAGCAATTCTCCCTTTTTAACATCCCAGCAAGCAACTTCTTCACCCGCACCAACTATTGCTCGCCCTGCGCCGGTACGGTGGGAAGATGTCAGGAGGCCTTCATCTTTTATCCAAACGATATTCGACGTCGCAGAAGCAACGAGACCAAAGGTTTTCGACGCTTCAAATTTCCTGAGGGGATAGACGGCGGGTAGTTAGCAAAATACTAGAGGAGGTGTAGCAGAGTCCATTCACGTACAAGTATGATTTGACCATCTTTTCTCCCCTTGGCCGCAGGAATTCCAGCGATTCCGTCCGTTGCGCTCACCGTCCAGATAGATCTATGGTGCTGGAAAGAAAATGAAATTAAAGTTTCGAAGCTGCAGCAGTCCGGCGGACCAGACAGCCCTAAACTGACGAGGCCTTTTTGGCCGTGCCGTCCTCCGTAGTCCACCACCCAAGCCAACCGCCATAATGATGACGACGGTTGAGATACGGACTCTTTGCCCAGCTACATTTTCAGATTCAGCAAAGCCAATTGCAGAAGCGCTTTTAATTTTGAAATGATCGTCTTCCCGGCATAATGTTACTTCTAGATTATCAGAACGTTCTTCTACAGTCGCTTCTCACCGAGCGGTTCTCCGGGTTAGTCCATCCCCGCGCCAGCCTATGCGGCCTACGCCCACAGCTGACCTTGCGCCGTACAGTGCACCCCCCGCCTCTATCGATCAGGTAGCTTCCGATTTCGATGGCGTTACCTTTCATGTTTCTACACCAGAATCTAAAACAAAGCTCCTCATCTCCATCGCCGTAAAATGCTTCCGTGAGCTAGTACAATCTGGTGCTCAGGAGGTCCTTGAGAGGGAATATGGCCCTTATATTGTCTCTCCCGAACCCGGATACGATTTCTCTATAGTTGTTGATCTCGAAAACCTCCCATCAGAACCCGAAGCGCGTGTAGAGCTTATCGACCGCATCTCGCTCCTGAAACGGAATGCTATGGCTGCGCCATTTGAGCGGGCATTCAACGAATATTCGAAGTTAGAGGGAGAAGCCGTGAAGTACACAACTGAGTCCATACCCCAGCGAATTAAAGACGGAGGAGACGTGATGACAATTCATTACCGTGAGGAAGAAGCCATATTCATCAAGGCGTATCACGACAGTGTGGCTGTGATCTTTAGCACCGTCTTTAGGGATGAGACCGATAGGATCTTTGGCAAAGTGTTTTTGCAGGTGTGTTCTAAATAGATATTCAATGGATACGCTTGCTGATGTGCCACCAGGAACTTGTTGATGTCAGAAAGAGGGCTATCACAAATGCCCCGCAAGTTCTATTCCGTCATGATCCGCCCTTGGAATTACATGGGGTCCCTGGGTTGAAGAACTCCCAAAATGGCGAAATCGGTTATATTACCTTTAGTAAGATTCGAAATCTGGCTCCCTTACCCTCCTATGCTAACTCGCTTCCAGTCCTCTATCCTCGACATTTATTACCTCAAAAACGTGCTGAGACCATCTCGCATATTCAAACTTTCCGAGATTATTTCCACTATCATATCAAAGCATCAAAGGTTTGTCAGATACGACTGTGCGAACTAGACGGCAGTGCTAACGCTTATCCTCCTATAGGCATACATCCATACTCGTATGCGGAAGCGCACAGCCGATTTCCTCCAGGGTAAGTAACTCAATTCGCAGCTAGATATTTGTCAAGGCTAACATGCATTGCAGTCCTCAATCGCGCACGGCCTGAAAATGAAGAACGGGAAAGGAAGACTGCTAGTGGAAGGACATTCCGAGTTCAAGGCTAAAATATACAGAGTTGAATTTCATTGGCAAAATTTTTCTACTGGCTCCATTTGACTTCGCTGGTGTTGGAGCAGACATATAGCCATGCCTATTACACCCCATACTGCGTAACAATGCTCTCAATAGGCCATTTATCTTAATCCAGATCGTGATCCCGTCCAATGCAACTTTACACTGCCAATGAATATAAACATCATTCATGTCGAAGCCCCCTTCAGAATGGCTACCTACCTGTAACAGCATGCCATGAGTCGAATGGAAAATTTTAAGGGGATTCCCGTAAATCTTTGTAAGGAGGGGCTACACTACTCTGATAATGGGTGGCTGGGAAGGAAAATTCCGTAGCAAAGTGAGTGTAGCTAAACTCCTGGTGCTCGCAAAGCCCACAGCTATACCCGCTCGGACTATCTCATGCGAACAATATCATACCTGCCAGATCCTCTAGCTATCACCCTTCTTGCAAGATAAGCTGTAGTGTTCACTCATCGGTCTGTTGTGAAGCCCTCGTACCCTTGTTTGGCTGTAAGATCAGAGAAATACGTTGCCCCTGGATTGTTTTATGCCATGAATGGTAGTCGGTCAGGTTGCAACTTGTGTAGTGACCGTGTAATGAGAGATGAATGAGCGGAACCACCTATTCACCCGGGCCCAGTGGCCTCAATTGAAGAATTTTCAAAGAATGGAAGCCCGTTTAGGAAAAGAAGATGCCAGTTTATCGTTTCTCAACCTCCGCCAGGCATACTTTCTCACAATTGCTCATATTTCACTCTCAGCTTTATCATCATAACTTGATAAACTGCTTTTCTGAACTTGAGCGCTCGAGTATTTGGCATCCTCGTCATTCCCTACGTCTCTTGATCTGCTGAATTTCAAAGACTTCAAACCCACTAGCCATCGAAGATGTCTTCAGCATCGTCGATGGGTTCGAACGACAGTTATATCCTACCTAGCACCACGTATGACGGCCCTCGGTCGGTCAGAGTGTTTTGGCCTGAGAAATATGGAGCGATTGAGCACACCACTGAAAGCGGTCCTCAACCTCTCGAGGAACCTGCACCTGCAGCGCAAGGAAATCCTGTTTCCACACACGGATACCTCGGCGCCGAAAAGCGCAACGAGGTTGTTTCAACCTACCAAGAACCTAGCCCATCCTTCGAGGAACGGAAAAGCCGGAGGCGTCAGACTATTGTGGAAGCATGCTCCAAGGTCTATGGAATTGCCAAAGTGGTTTTGGAGATCCAAATGGCAGTTGGTGCAGTTGTATGGACCCTCAGCATAGCAGATGAACTTGTGTTACTTCACTAACACCTATCCAAATAGATCGATAGTACTCCGACCGGGATCAAATTTTATATTGATCGAGTAGAGAATATCATGGCTCACAAGTCCTGTTCGAAGCTCCTGGGCGCAGTGGAAGATCTCTACTATGCGACTTATGCGACACTCAACATAGAGATCAAAAACGTCGAACTTTGCGAGGGTTTCCATTTCGATATCAGGAGCCTGGCCCCAAACAACAAATTCAACGCCAAAGAATGCTTGCCAGAACCAAGTCACTTAAGATTAATCTTCCAGGCATGCAAAGATTACCTGGCTTCTGACAACATTCGGCATCCTCTTCATCGAGAGATTATTCGCCGGAAGCAAGCAGAATATGTTTACCAGACCGTGAAAATGAGCAGACAAGCAGGCCATGTTCCCGAAAACGAAGAGGCTTTCCGCCAGTACATCCAGAATATGGTGACGAACCCAGAATCACCATATTGCCGTCAATGGACTGGACTTTGTCCAATTTACGATGCGGCTCCAGCCATGGTCCTTGGAACGTTGTCCGAAAAGTATCTCAGCGTTCTTGCCAAGGAAGAAAAAAGAGAGCAGATAAAATTCAAGAAGCAAACTGCGGAACGTCACAGCACCGATTCGGCCCATGAGGAATGGAGGCACATTACATCCAACCGCGAAGCAGCTTACGCTATGCTCCACGGAATGCCGGTTGGAGAATACCGAAGACAAGAAGGAAAAATGGCACTCAGTGCCTATGTCAAAGAAAATCTATGCATCTGTTTCGGATACTGCGAATGCTCCCGCAGATGCACGCTCAAAGGAGGCAGAAAATGCCCCTGCAGTTCCCGGCTGAGTGTGATCTGCGATGCTCACAACGTGGACGAGAAAGAATGCTTCATCGAAAAATGCGCGGATATTGCAGCAGCCGTTTTTGACCGTCTATCAGCGGTTAGACGAGGCGCAAGCGTTTTCCAGATGGCGACGGAGCTCGACATGCGCCTTGATCGTTTTCATGAAGCGGTCGTTGAATATCGGCAACAAAGCGAAAAGGCATCCTCCGACGATGGATCGAAGCGACGTTCGGATTTTTAAGGGGATGGGTCTCGGAAGATCTCCGTACTTGGCGACAGGGCCTGGCTGATAGGGACTTCTCCGGAGCGGTGGGTTTACGACGTCACACGGGCATTTTATGTGCTGGGGCAATGATTTCACGAAGACATGATGATTATTGATGGCCTTGCAATGATGAGGTGATGCCTGTTCTCGTTTTTTTCGTGTGGCTTCTTCGATGCTGTAGTTATACGAACATGTTGAGGGAAATACTTTTGTTGGTTTCTGTTTTAGTTCTGTTGAAAATCAATGATGCTCTGGACTCCTGCTAGGAATCCCACGGAGCTTTTAAGTGCTAAAAATCGCAACCTTAAGCCTTGAACATCCCTGGACGGGGGCGTTAGTTGGCGCTGGTGGGCCGGTGGCCTCGGCCGCATCCCAGCGAATCGTATGGGGAGAAGCATCTCAAGGCTCACATGGAAAACTGGAAATGGGGCTTGGACATGTTGATATGGGATTAGCGGCCAAAATTCTGTTGGATGCACATCAGTCACAGAGGCGTTTGTTCGGAGACTCAAAATGTCTATCCTCGTCCCACACTCCATCGTGGCCGGAAAGTTCTCTCCAGCAAACGCCCATCTGCCTCGACTGTTTTCTCTGCTCCAGCATGCTTGGAACCTGACTGCATGTGAGCGTCTGGCATGTAGTCATCACTGACGTTGGCATGGTCCTTAACATTCCAGCTGTTCTTCGCTCGCTGATATCATCGTCGTCAAAACAAAGTGCAAGCCAGAATCTACGCCATAACTTCTCCCAATGGAAGGCTGCTGCTTCAACCTTTGGCATATCAACTCCCACCTCTAACAGCTCAGAAGCTTCGCTCTCCAAATGCCCCTTTGTCTTCGACACTGGCTACGCGTTATGCCCGAAACGCCCGTCGCGCCCGTTCCCTCCTCCCTTCGTCTCGCCCCCGTCTTCGTCGTTTTCGGATCCTTTGACAACGCATCATCGGAGTCAAGATGCGAGACCGTCGGTCAACGGAGAGCTTGTCAGGGGGCTGACGAATGGCGATGATGCTGTCCTCGTTTCTCAACATTTCCTTGGGGTAAACGATGGAGTCGGAGCTTGGGCAACAAAACCTCATGGTCATGCTGCGTAAGGCCTCTAGATGCTTCCTGGGTGTCGTTCAAAAGCTCACTGGTTGGTCTCTTTATAGCTTATGGTCTAGATTGATCCTTCACTTCTGGGCTCTGGAGGTTGAACGCAACGTCAATTCAATCGACCCAGATCCCGTGGAATTCCTACAGCGAGCATATGAGCAAACTGTACTGGCTACCTCGTCGCCCAACGAATGGCTGGGAACCACCACCAGCGCCACCGCTCTTCTACATTATCATAATGATGGGTGCTCGGTGAAGCCGCTACTTTATGTTACGAACATCGGAGATTGTCAAATCCTGGTACTTCGACCTAAAGAAGGGAAGGTCGTTTTCAAAACTCAGGGGCAGTGGCATTGGTTTGACTGCCCTATGCAACTTGGTACCAACAGCGTAGACAAACCCCGGAATGACGCCGCATTGTCTGTCGTCGAGCTCCAAGAGGACGATATCGTTGTCGCCCTATCCGACGGAGTTACTGATAACCTCTGGGAGCAAGACGTCTTGGATGTAATACTGCGAAGCTTGTGCAAATGGGAAACCGGCAAAGTAGAAGACAGCGTAGGGGATCGTACCGCTGGCAGGGGTGGCGGAATGGTGTACATTGCCCAGCAACTGCTGCAAACAGCAAAGACCATCGCACAGGATCCCTCGGCGCAAACGCCATACATGGAGAAGGCCATTGGCGCGGGATTGGCTATCTCAGGAGGTAAGATCCCTTCTTTCATTTGTAAGAAGTTGATGCTGATAGTCATAGGCAAAATGGATGATATTAGTGTTGTGGTTGGCCTCTGTGAGAAAAAAGCAACATGAATTGGTCCTTCACTCTTCGATATTTCGCTTTTTCATAACCCCTTTTCTACGCACATTATATGGCTTGATACCCTAAGGGATAAACCACTTGCCCGGAAACGACTCGTCTACAATATGCAGGCCACAGGGAATCGCTCGTTGGAAGAGAATTTTCTTCAAACGTATCATTGGCAGCAGCACACGGCTGAAAAGCCGGCCCTGGGCAAGAAAGCCATTGCGACGAAAACCGCCAAAAGGTGGAGATCCGATCTCATCACGCCAAAGATACCCGTTGATCTCGTCATGACGTTCGTTAGGAATACGCCGAAAAACGAGTGCGGACTGGGAAACCGACGAGAACCTTGATGCCATGAACGTAACTGAAAAACGACCGTTCAATGAAAAGGCGCCCTTCAACCAATAGGGACCATTTGATCAAGACAGACCATTCGATCGAGAGCGTATCGCAAGAACTATGGGATAGTCAATAGTGGTCTGCATTCCCATCTTCACGATTTGGATCGGGCGAGATTCGTCGGCTAGATGTTGAGCAGGGTTACCGCTGAACTCGATTACTCATACCACGAATTGTCGAATTCCGGCCATATACTGTGCCTTCAAGTTGTAACGTTTTGAAAACCAAAGATGAAGGTTTGGTAGGAGCTTGTTTATACCGCTCCCAAAAAAACTCCGAGCGCATTGGGATCGGCTTCGAACGGGGTATTCGGCCTCTTCAATACCCTCATGGCTTGTCCATCGTTATCGTTTTCGATCAGCAAGTGCGTCAGATATTGTACCCATGCGGTCGAGATAGATTGATTGATGGAATCACGCATCCTGAAGTGTAAGTTGGCCGCAAGCTTTCATCACTTTGCCTCAAGACACTAACTTGAAAAGGGATGTGTCAGGGGTCGATAATCGCAACTGACAGCAACACATTTAAGGAAACCAAGTCTACCTCGAAAGGGTCTCGATTGTTATGGGCAGACCCCTTGTTACAACCTACTCACCCGTGTGCTCTTATTTCGGATGCATTCATTCTACGCTACAGCAGGAACAAAATTCCACAGCTCAGAGCTGGACACTGATTTTTATCAGCTATCATATTCCTTTCACACATTTGCTGGCTATTTTTCTACCCATGTTATGTACCATCTACCTTCATTCCCTTCGAGGTTACATCGGAATGGGATAGCTAAAAGATTTAATACAAACTGCAGAGCTTTTCACCCTGGGCTTACTTCGCACGGAAAATACGCTACCACCATGAGTCATGTGCTTTTAACGTTATTTCTGATCTGGCCATCATTGTATTTTCTGGTCTAGGATAGTTAACGTTGCTGTGATGTACAGCTTACAGCGGTATTTTTCATGATCTAAGCCATTGTAATCCGAATTCATGATCAAGCAGAATTAACAAAATTCCCCATGGAATAGTGAAACAGTAGCCCTCGTTCTCATTATCACTTTGAACACCCTAATTCAAGCCTCGTGCTTTCCGTAACAAAACCGAGACCAACCAGTTATTCAGGCTGGATAATGTGAAGGTGTAGAAACCAGTCTTTAAAGCACAAGGATACAAAACGAACCAAAGAACAAAAGCGAGGAAACAACAAGGGTAAAATTCCACATTCAACCAAGCAGGATTATAATGAAGTCCTCGTCAGAGGACGACAAGCCGGAGCCCAAGGCGGGGCGGGAGGAATGGCCTCCAAACTGATACGGACCATTTCAGGTAAGACATTGGGCCAGCTAAGGACAAAATCCTAGGTGTCTTTTATTGTAGGTACATACATACAAACTTCTAATCCATTTTGAGATAGCTAAGGGTGGCTATAGCCCCTTGTTTTCAAAATTCTTGATTTCAAGCAACTGTTAGCAATGGTCCTAAGACGAGTGCACAGCTCTGGGTTTCCATATTTGACCTTAAAAAGAAGGCCAAAAGGGTGAAAGTGATGAGGCAAGTTCCAATGCCTTTTGCCCACTGCGAGTCCCCTTTCTGGGACTGGCTTACCACCACAATGGTGGAGTGTATTCCTTTGGAAAAGGGGAAAGAAAGGAAAAGAGAAGTTTGGGGGAGCTGGGTTGAAAAATTCTTGTGAAGTGGGAATTTCAATTTGATGACCATGTATTGAAACAGGTTTGAGGGTGCAGGACAGTAGAAACAGGCCAAACAGGAACTGAGAAGGAAAAGAGGCATAGATTTTATTCTCTGACAGTGGCCTCATAAGGACGGGCTTTGCATATCTCCCTGGCACGAGTCTGTTGCAGTAGTTGCAACATTTTATTAGATAGCAGACGGCATCAGAAGATACCACAGTACATTAAAAAGAATGGAAATCAAGTCGATAAGGTATTTAGCACCCCTTCCCTCACTTGATTCTTGGTTTTCCATCGACTAGGCCCTGGAGAAGCAATAACACTTCGGTCATGCTTTCGACCTGTCAGTAATGAACTTGGAGCAGAGGGGGGTTATTCTGGGCTCGAATGTCACCCTGCGTATGTAGTGGAAACATTGAATATGCCCGTCAGAATTGTATTCACGGAGGACTTGAATCCCACGATGGTTGATAGTTAGACAGCTCCGCAAATAATACCAAACTTCATCAAACGCCGCTAACAGCCATGCAGATATCTCTTGGCGATCTCGCAGCTCCGAAAATTTAAGCAGCATTTCCTCTGAACATCTCTTCTACCAACTTTCTCTGATTCTAATCTAATTGAAATTCTCAGATAGCACCTGTTAGACTTTTGTCATAATGAGAGCAAAGCGATCGAAAAAGTATCGCAAGCTAATGCACCAATATGAGACTACCTTTGGCTTCCGTGAGCCCTATCAAGTCTTAGGTAGTTTGCGCCTCTGATCCGTCATTTTGAAGGACTAAACGCTAACTGGCATTGTTTTGCATACAGTTGATTCGCACTTCTTACAATCCGTGTATGCCTTCAAGATGGATCTACTACCAGCCCTGGAACGCACAGTACAAGGAAAAGTAAAACCTTGTACGTTCTCTCCTACCAGCGGATCTGCTATCGGGGAGGTAATCGCGCGCTGACCAGGATAGTTATTACAAAATGCTCCCTTGCTGCAGTGATGGCTGCCTCGACATCCTCCTCCCATTCTTCTTCTTCCACTCCGCAATCGAGGCCGCCACCGCAGAGACGACCTGCTCAACTTCCTCCGCCGACAGTTCTTCCCCTCCGTTACTGCTCCCATAACGAAGATGACACACCAATCGACGAAACTGCCTGCCTACTTTCTCTACTGTCGCCTAGCCAAGACTCGAAGAAGAACAAGGAGCATTATATTTTGGCTTCAGCAGACCCCGTCCCGCCGCGTGAGGATGGAAAGCGAAAATCTACGAAACCTCCGCCGAGATATAATCTGAGAAGAGATGCGCGGCTCATACCGGGTGTTCCGATAATATATGTGAAGCGATCGGTTATGATATTAGAACCTATGAGTGGGTCATCGGAGGGAGTGCGGGATGGTGTTGAGAGAGGGAAATTCAAGACTGGATTAGTTTCTACAGTAGCGAAGCGGAAGCGCGAGGATGATGGAGATACAGAAACAAAACCAAAGAAAGCGAAGAAAGTGAAGGGGCCGAACCCCCTCAGCGTGAAGAAGCCGAAGAAACGGGAGGATCCTGCGTCGCAAGAAAAGATGGAGAAAGAATCACCAGAGAAAGCGGTAGCCCCGGTGAAGGGCGTTGATAATGACCATTCGGACAATGATCATGCCGCGCCGACGAAAACAAAGAGGAAGCGGAAGCATAAGCATAAACCGCTTCAGGAGGGCGAAATAAAACCTGGTGTTTTGATAGCGGCTGAAACTTGATACCAAACAGGGCCAGTTGAGTCTGACTTCAATGCACATAAACTCCCCCGGAACAGTGTAAACCATGTTTATTATGGCAATATCATACAGAGTAGGGTATATCCGCTGTATTATTCCGTATCGTACATCTCTTTCCATGTCGCATAACCCAGAAGGTTTCGAATCGAAAATAAGTGCCAAAAACAATATGTACTCCTTTCATCCCAAAATGCAAGTCCCGCTCTCTTTAGATTTCAAAGCATTCGCGTCGAATCATCCCATCTACTCCCCCTGCTCTTTCCATATCTGTTCAATCCTCGACCGGTTTTCCCGCGCCTCGTCCCGATTCTTCTGCGCCCGCTTTAATCGCTCTGCGCCAAGACACCGATTGACCTGGCGCTTGATCTCATTGCAGTTTCCGACGGCTTTGTAGAGAAAACCGCGAGCGTGGCATTCGTCGAGAGCGGTCATGACCTCTTCGCAGTCTAGAGTTGGATGGGAAAAGGCCTTGTTAGTCAAACGGGGAGGGCCTGGGACGCGGGGGCTAACGGACTTATGTTGTATTTGGTGTGGAGATGGGAATGCATTTTGGGAGATTGTGCGCAGAGCTGTTGAGTTGGAAAGGAGAGGGAGTTGAATGTAGAGGAGTTTAATGCTTGATAACACGTCTGGTCTCTGATTTATCTTGTGGTGGTGGTTCGTATCGTTGCAGCCCGGAAGGCCTCAAGCCACAGAGAGTTAATTTTCTGCCAAGGCGGTGAATCGCTGTCCCCACTGGTTGCTTATCAAAATTTTGAAATTTGGTAACGAAGGACCGAGGACGAGGTGTCGACGGAGAGACTGGAAGATTTTGTCGCATTTGTTATTTCCCTGGTGTTCGAGAGTCCTCCATTTGCCGTTCCAGTGTTATCGTGAAATTACGATTGTCAAGCGCTATTCGCTCAATTTCAACCGACAATTGACATACAGCAAAACAAGCCCGAGCTTGGTTACAGCCCTCGTAAAATGACTTCTATGATAACGGCCACCGCCTGGGTGCGCCGTGGAGTGGCAGCCCAATTCCCTGAGAAATATGAACTGGACGAGGATGAAATCAACAGAATATCTGAACTGGCGAGGGTGCAGCTTGAGGACGCGAAAATAGATTTGAAGGCTGCCCGGGAAGAGAAGGAGGATGACGATATGGACATGGATGAAGGGAATGCAAAGGCTGAAACTTCCTCAAAAGCTGAAGGGAAAGGGAAGGGCAAGGAAACCACCAAGAGGTTAGAATCCCTTTTTAAAGACCTGGCTGGGGGTATACAAGTCCAATCTCTAGTTTGCTAATTCTACGGGATAATAGTACGGGAAAGACCGACGATGACGATGAGCTGAAGGAGTATGATATGGAACATTACGACAGCGACCCCGTGGACGAAGATGGCGAGGAGGTCACAATGTTCGGCAATGTTAAATCGCTCGCATATCATCAACCGCACGAGGAAGATCCTTATCTTGTGGTGCCCGAAGGCGAAGATGAAGATAACGACAGAGAAGAGTTACAGATTCTGCCGTCAGACAACCTCATAGTAGCTGGCAAAGTTGAAGATGAGGTAGCCCACCTGGAAGTATATGTTTACGAGGACGCGGAAGACAATCTCTACGTGCACCATGATATTATGCTCCCCGCCATACCACTATGTGTGGAATGGTTGGATATGCCTGTTGGGAGGGGATCCGAAAATCGCTCGCACGGAAACTATGTGGCGGTCGGTACGATGGAGCCTGATATTGAGATTTGGGATCTTGACGTGGTTGATTGCATGTACCCAAATGCCATCCTTGGACAAGGAGGAGAGAGTAACGACGCAAGTTCTAAGAAGAAAAAGAAGAAGTCGAAGAAGGCCAACGACCATTACCACGTGGATTCTGTACTGGCTCTGGCCGCCAACAAACAGCACCGCAACCTGCTGGCGTCCGGATCGGCGGATCAAACCGTCAAGCTGTGGGATTTAAATACCTTGAAATGTGCCAAATCTTATTCGAATCACAAAGATAAGATTTGCTCGCTGGACTGGCATCCGAAAGAATCTACCATTCTCCTGAGTGGGAGTTATGATAAAACGATTGTCGCAGCTGATATGAGAACCCCTGAAGCCAAAGCTGCTCGCTTCAATGTGGACAGTGACGTCGAAAATGTCCGATGGGATCCTCATGATCCGAATTTCTTTTACGTTACTACAGACAGCGGCATGGTATACTGCCACGATATCCGAAATGCATCAGCACACCCGGAATCGGTAAAACCCCTCTGGACACTGCAAGCACACGATTCATCGGTATCCGCCTTTGATGTCAACCCGTGTATCCCAGGCTTCATCGCTACCGGGTCAACCGACAAACAAGTCAAATTATGGAATATCCAAGACAACAAGCCAAGCATGGTCGTATCGAGAAAGCTCGAAGTAGGCAAAGTCTTCTCCACAACCTTCGCTCCTGACAACGAAGTCAGTTTCCGCCTCGCTGTGGCTGGAAGCAAAGGCGTTGTCCAAGTGTGGGATACATCCACCAACGCAGCCGTTCGCCGGGCATTTGCAGATCGACCTGGTGCTTCCGCGCATATTGATGAAACCAAGGAGGAACGTCTGGTGGGCATTGCCAAAGATGTGAGTGACGATTCTGATGACGATGATGAGGAGATGAACGCAGGGGATGGACCGGCTGGAGGTGATGGATGGGAGTCTATGGAGGAAGATTGAAGGCACTTTGGTCCCATAACAACCCTTTGATTTCCATGTTCTACTTTGTGCCATGTGGGTTACAGTCTGGGTTATAGGAGTTTGCTGAAGTCTCGAGAAGAGAGAAAAGCCACGCCTGAAGGAGGCCAAAAGTTTTTGCAGGTGGTAATACCCCAGCTTCCAGGACCGTTTGTCTGAAGCTTTATAATGTCAATTTTTGACCAACTAGTCACAATATACTGTTCCCGCATAGCTCAGACAGATTGCAGTTATCATGGTCATCTCGAAGCACGTCGCGTCCAGGTGTTGACGGAATGTCAAGATATCCACTCCGAATCCCATTATGGGCAAGGGAGTTGCAGCTAAGTTCCTATAAATAATGTAACCCATGAATTCACAAATTCCCCGTCGCAACGCGCGATCACCATGTGGCGCTCGACATGAACGGGGTCAAAGCTGAAGCCTGAGGGGATTCGAACATTCTTTTCTTTTTCCGCAGGTACCCATGTGTTGACTAAGTTTTGAGCAAGATGCAGGTCCGGGACGGGGCCCCCAACCAATTCGCCCCTCGGGTTAAAATTTGATTTGTTGAACGGGAGGGCGTTTACGGTACTCCTGCCTAACACGGCTTTGATGGTTGCCTTTTCATTGTTGCTTGATTTTTTGTTTTTTTCTCTTTGGAAGAAAATGTTGGTGGCACCCCGTACGTACATCCAATCCGGCATCAGTGTGTCCGTTCAGGACGGAAGGGATCAACGCATCCGTTTATACCATGGAGGCTTGCTACAAGATCGACAGACAGGAGATCCTTCATCATCTTGATCGAAACATTAGTGGGCATATGAATGGCAGATATGCCTGCCTCAGACGTTGATGTTTCGTATCCAAGCACATCGCTCACATGTCCCGCAAATAATAGTGTGAAGGGATCAAAAGGACAGGACGCCGGTTGTGTTCAATTAGAGGGTAGCATCTGACTCGCGCGATGCATGTCGCGTTTGCTGGCATGGTGGGCCTGGGGTAAACTATTGCATTGGGATAAAGGGATTTTCCAGGGCTTGTGGTCCCAGTAGTTAGGTATGTAGTTGACAATGCAAGTGTTTGCAGCCCTATAATCACAAGCTTTGAAAACACCTCGAGTTCTAGAAAGATTCTAAGCGCCCGTCAAGCACAGCAATCACATGCATCTGAGGGTGGAGGGGGTCTCATGAAGCCACCTTGGGACTTGAACCGACTGTTGGAGGATCGAAAACCAGACAATCCCATGGATTACCCCGGTTGTCCAATCACGCAGCGCATAAACTTTCAGTTGGCGCCGACCCAGAAAATCAAGACAAGGACAGCGAATCAGCATGCACCAGCCGGTGTATCAAGTGACAAGGCCTGTATTTCTTCGGACATTGACACCGACTAGTCCCAGCTAGGCCTAGCAAATGCAAAGCTTGGCAAGGACCCGTGGGACCAGTGGCCCTGCCAAGCCCCACCCTGTTCTCGCCCCGGCTGTTTTGTTTCGCGATGTTTGGCTGCTTTCCGCTGCGGTCTTGGCGGGCTAGCGGGTTGCCCCCTGCAGAGGGGCGTGCCAGGGTGTCGAAGAGCCTTTGCGTCGTATTTGTGCCACCCCACACGCCTCCTCCCCGAGGAAGGTTCAGGCCCACGTCCGTGATGGGCCTTATGGCACCATCACCACCCTTTTCTTTTTTCATCTCTCTTCCTCTTGTCGCTCCCAGTGTCATCTCGACTTCATTCTTCTCTTCAGGTCACACTCCTTTGGCCTGGTGGATGACCGCTTTCTCCTTTTCCTTTCTTGTGATCTTCCTTCACCAGCGTCCTGGTTGTCGCTCCTTTTCTTCACCCTAACCTGCTGCTTGATGCCTGGTTAAGGAAGCTCACGGACTGTCCCTTCAGCCAGACACAGGTACTCAGATGACCTGGTGATATTGCTGTGCAATATTCCAAAAGATCTCTCCATTCCTTGAACAAAGTGTTGCCTTTACGGGGAAACTTCCAAAGAAACGCCTTTCACGCTTCCGCTCCTTGTATGGAATACGTATTGACTGGAAAAAAAAGAACTGTTGGTCAGAAACTGCACACACGCCGATACCCGAAATTCACACCACAACATCTCCTGCATTGAAGATAAAATTAGAAAAAAATAAAGAATCTGGAAACTCTTGACTTTGGAACGGAGCGAAGGATACTGTTCATCAGATTACCACATTGAGTCGCGACCTCAAACAAAAAACAGCCGCAAAACCCGCTCTCATGTCGAACTCACCGTCAATTATGAGGGCGTTCACCAAGCGCCAGAAGCGGCCCAAGGTGTCGGCACCAATGCCGTTTCGCGAGGGTCAGGTCAGATTTGCTCCTGGCACGATTGATCGTTCACAAATCTCCCCAGCAGTCGAACTGCTCTCCTCCACCAACATTCTCGCATACACCGCCCCAGATCTTCCCATCAACAAACGCCCAAACGCGCTCTCTTCATCCTCCTCCTCATCTCGCTCTGCCGATGACCTCGATATCCCAAACTACACCCCTATCACATCCCCCGCCACCTCTTCTCGCGATGAGTCCCCGATTTCTCCTGAACCAGGCATTCCCTCCTACTTTGATTCAATGAAGCGACCGAAGCCCAGTGCGAGATCTTCGGCCTCCTCGTCGCAGTCGAAAGATGGCACGCCCCCTATTCCGCAGCGAGCGCTATTGCATACCAAATCTCAACCGAACCTTGGACGCGAAGCGCCACCAAAAATCACCCTCCCTCCAATCTCTCTCCACAGTTCAGGCGTCTCTCGTGTGAATCAGGAACCGTACAACACCTTCTCCGAATCGAGTCATCCATTTATGAGGGAGTTGGAACAGGTTAATGAAGTCGCGGAAGAGCTCACGCGCGGTATCCGAGACGAGGACGAAGAGCTTTTGTTACACAAAGGACTAAAAAAGTTTGCAGTGGAGGATTACATTTTCGAAATTCAAGATCTCTACTTGACTTACTTCGGGGATGACTTGAGCAGACAACAGCCTGCGAGCGCAGCATGGATCTGATTGTTCCACACGACTTTCCGTTGCCTCATTGTCCTACTTTCTCGGGATCGAAAAGCGATCAGAGCTATTATTCACGGATCGGGTAAAAATCGCCTGGTCCCATTGAGCTCGATCATTTGTTTAATGGTTTGCATTGCCAATTCAATTACATTAATCTCGACTCGTGTGCGGTTCTCAACAGTTAGTCGCACCCGGCTCCCAATGTTAATGTTGTCCGAGTTCGATGTGACCCATATATTTCTTTATTCTCCGGCGCTCATGGGTTTTCACACTTGTTACGAACATTGATTCCCCCCCATTTGATGACCGGTTTGCTTTATGGTTGAGCTGGGGGAGGTATTTGTGCTATCATTTGCCATACAGGTATGGTTACTGTAATAAGAATAGCAGATTATTTTAGTGACCGAAGTCTATTCTATTCTATCGTACGCGTGTCATCGGTGATATCTAGACCTTAAACCCAGGAAATCTCCATTGGAATTTGCCCATTCAAACTCGACATTGCTAGCATTAGAGCTGGCTTAAGTTTGTATGTCAGATGTCTGTACAAAGTCCGTTCCCTCGTGGTTGCTAGGGAGTTTCAGCTCAGGACCGCCCTCGCAAACCTTCACCCTGTTTCAAATTGAGCTCGGCCCATCCAACACCAAGCCAAGAAGTCGCTCTCTGCACGCTATGATTGGCTCCCGTTAACCGCCACTAAAGTGCGGGGTTGTGGCTTACCTAAGATTGCCAGCTCTGCAGAACACCACGTGACTATACTTAGCTTAGTAATATTTACTCACCGCCTTGAAAATTTTGGGTTTGTGGGATTTTTGATATCAGAGAAACGCGGATTCGTGAGCTCTTGAGGGGCTGTGAGGTTCCAATCAACTATTCCTTATCATTAACAGTATCGTCTCTTCTTTATCACAATAGGCTCTGCCTGGATCCTAGGATGTTCGGTTTTGAGCTTTCGGGAGTTCCCACCTACAGCTCAGCTTCGCCTCTTCGTCTCAGAAGCGTTTCATTCTAAGTCTTTCCCTCGCTTTTGCCGTTCACGCAATTCGATCCTCCGTCGTGGAACCTGAGGTTTTACCCGCTCGAGTTTCGACTTGCTGAGCTGGGTCAGGCTTAGACCTCCATCCACGGACGCGGCCCAATCTTCGTTTTGCGTTTCCCCCTTGTTACCTCTCGACGCGAAACCCCCGGCCCCAAAAACCACTGTCCACATGTTAATAGCCCGGACGGTGCGAACGATGCCTACATTCGCTTCTTCCTGCCCGAGCGGCACCCCAGTTTCGTCGGCTCCCTCAATGTCGATGCCCGCGAAATCCATCCTCAAAGTCCCGGCGGCGATGGGTCAGAAACGCAAGAAGATCGAGATCGATCTCTCTTCTGACATCTCCAACGGCTCCGACTCGATAGAAACGCTTCTTCCAAGTAAAAAGCGCGCGAGAGTAACGTTTGAAATGGATATTCCTGATAAGAAAGCGTACGGAGCCGGTGGTGTGCAAGCTATCCATGAGAATAACGGTGCTGCAGTTCGCGAGAAGAGTACCGCTTTGGTACGAGAGGAAGTTAGCCGCGCCATTCAACGTCATTTAGTTGGGGATAGCGATGCGTACGATCGTTTGAAGGAAATATTTTCGGTCGATCCGAAGGCGCTGGAACTGGATGGGTCCCCGGTTTATGATCTGCCTACACATACCTCCTTGAAGAACCATCTTTTAGGTCTATTGAGTAATGTTTCAGCGCTTGATAGCACCTGCAGTGGACTTGTGCATGCGGTCCTTCGAAGTGAATGGCTTGGCAGAGACGAGTCCTACGTCAAACTTTTCATCAGATTCTTAGGTACTTTGGCTGCGGCTCGGGGTGGGTATTTGACTGCGGTGTTGAAAATGCTGGTGAACAATCTCTGTGAAGGTAAGTTCCCATTGTACTGTCCATGATTTATCTTGTTACTAACTGATTTGTTAATCCAGTTCCTTCTGGTGCTGGCAGGCTGCCTGGTTACTCCACTGTTCGCAACTTTGAAATTTATGATAGAGTCCATCTTGCAATCCAATATATCATCCAATTGATTCCTACCGGAAGCGTCACCTTATCTCCTATCCTCTCGTCCGGCTTCCCTCACGATACAGATACGGCCAAATCGCATATCGTATTTACACGCAATCTAATTAAAATGATTGATTATGCACCCGAGCTGCGGTCTGATATTCTAGCTCTAATCACCGAGAAGCTAGTCAAAATTGATGTACAAATTCAGGTCGACCTAGATGACTTGGAAGATGACGATGAAGAAAAGCTTCATCGTGAGATCACAGCTGAGGCTTTCGCTGTAGAAGACCATGCTTCGGATGATGAAGAAAGTGTTATCAGCGATGACGATAGCACTAGTCCTGAAATGCAGCGATTCAAAGCACTCAAAGACAACGTTAGAAAAGTTGATTATATGCTGGATCTGCTGTTTGAATACTACTCTGGTCCATTCAGTCACGGTAGCTCAGACGACAAGGAGAACAGTTTAGACCTTCTTCTTGCTCACTTTCAGAACATCATTCTCCCTGCATATCGCTCCCGCCACTCCCAGTTTCTACTTTTCCATTACTCGCAGTCCTCTCCGATCTTGATCGATCGATTTGCGACAGTCTGCATACAGTTCATCTACAGCAAGTCACATCCGTCAGTCCTTCGACAATATGCTGCCGCTTACCTCGCGAGCTTCGTGGCTAGAGGCGCCCATGTGACTAGCGAAGTTGTGCGTGATGTGTTTGATCTTTTATGCGCGCATTTAGAGAGCCTTATCAGTGAGTATGGGCCTAACTGCCGTGGACCGGACCTCCGCCGCTATGCTACTTTCTATGCAACTGTCCAAGCGGTTCTTTATATGTTCTGTTTCCGCTGGAGGGATCTTACCACGGCAGCCCAGGAAGGAGACATCAACCTGCAAAGCGAGCTTGATTTAGACCAAGTCCGCTTTCCCCCCGATATCAGCAACGTCCTCCACAGAGCCATCCATTCCAAACTCAACCCGTTGAAAATCTGCTCCCCCACGATTGTCCGCGAATTCGCCCGCATCGCTCATCATGTTGGATTCATGTACGTCTTCCCGCTGCTCGAGACCAACAAGCGCATCCGCATTTTCACGTTTCGATCCTCTATCTCGATGGACTCCCGCTTTGGACAGATTGAGCGCGAGACGCGAGCGGATAACAGTCTAGGCTCCCAGATGGATGCTTATTTTCCATTTGATCCTTACAATCTACCACGAAGCCGACGGTGGCTAGTGGGTGATTATGTGGAGTGGCGCGGTGTGCCGGGTTTAAGGGATGATGATAAGGAAGATGACGATACTGATGGGGGTTATGATGAAGAGGACGAACTTGGCCATGCGACTGGGACTGATGAGGACGACCATTGATCCGGAAAATAAAAGAGTCGGGGTTTCAGAAACAAAATTGCCATTGATGATTCTTTTGTCCTATTGACGTTTGCGTTGACCTACGGCGAATTATGAAGGCCCCCTTCTATTTCTGTGATGAAAAAGGCTTGGGAGCGTTCACGTTGCGAAAATTATACTGGTGTTATGGGGTTCTATGGTGATCGATGAAATGTGGATGTATCTATGCTTCAGGTTTTCGGCTTGGGAAACCCTGCAGCATCAAACGACTTGCGATTAGTGAAGAGAGTGGATATTCCGTCTTGGACAAAGCCTGGACTCTAAGCACCTGGGCCATATGGAGTAGGATGCGGAGGAGGTATTGAACAGAGCCGTCTTAGGGGCTCTGAGAAAAGAGATTGATGGCTGGTCTGGACATTCTGACACATTATGATGAGAAGATCTACTTGAATTTACCTTCGAAAGGTAGCGGAATTGTAGCTATGCGGAAATAGTTCCAAAGCTAGCTAAGAAAAAAATATTAAAAATAGTTCTTCAGTTTATAAAAGATATTCCTTGTATATTCTGGGGGGTATAACATACATCTATCGCCGAAAGCATCAATATGCCCTGGCGGGATACATAACAATCAAGGCTTATGAAATCGAAAACAAACACAAAAAGCATCTTCCATGCGCTCCGCAGTGCAAATGAAATAAGATCACTAGAGTTGAAACGGCAAAGAAAACGTGGACAAATCAGCATTTCCATCAGTGTCCCTCAAGAGTCAAGGCTTTCTGTAAAAATCCTCCTCATATGCTCCGCCGCCGCCAGGTAAAACACATCAATCCTCCCCTGGTCCCTAAACGGATTTACAGACTTATCCCACGCATGTTTCGACTGTTCAATCATCATCGACCGCACGTTTTTCCCTTGTTTTTCCAAATGCTGCACGAACTCCTGGCCCTCGTGGAGAAGCATGTCCCATTCACACATGTAGATGAAGAGATCGGTGGGCAAGGCTTCGGCGAGCAAGCTTCCCGGTGCGTGGATGGGAGAGGCAAAAGGTGATGAGCGGTCAGCGTGGTTGGGAAGGTAGCTGTCGTCGAAGAGGTTGGTGAGACACTCGGGAAGGGACTTGTCGGGGAAGGCGCTGCGGTTGCGGCGAACGTCTCGCGGAAGAACAAAGTCGAGGACCGGGTACCAGGAGACGATGGAGACGATTTTGAGGTCGAGTTTGGTGGTGGTGGTTGTGGCTGTGGACGTGGTTAGGAGTTTATGGCTTGAGTCGTGACGAAGGAAATCGGGACGGCTGTCGTTGTTGATAGAGGGTGGGGGGAGGCCATTGGGCGCACTGGGGGGGTCAAGTTCGGAAAAGAGGGATCGGAGGCGGAGTGGAACTGAGAATGCCAGGTTTCCTCCTGCTGAGAAGCCGGTGATTGTGACTCGGCTGATGTCAAGGTGTAGTTCGGCAGCATGTTCCTGAAGATAGAGGAGGGCGTCGACGCCATCATCGACGGCCGCTGGGAACGGATGCTCCGGTGCTAGACGATACTCCACGCTTACAAACACTGCGTTCGTGATGTCCGTGACGATTCGCGCCCACCGCGCATCATCCGTCGCTCGTCCGATACAGAAGCCGCCGCCATGAAAATTGACGACGACGGGATATTTCTGGCCGGTGGCGTAGGCTTGAACGTAATCTTCGGGCACATAGAAATGCAGTTTTATGGACTTGACGCGTAGCATCCGGTAAGATCTTTCGTGTGAAATGCGGAGTTGAAGGTCCAGGCAGTGGATAGCCATGAAAGAACATGCCAATCCGCATGAGGACCCGGAGTACGACGGCCTCATCAGTAGCCAAAGTCGACTGGTCTTGGATGAAGGAGCGGGATATGCCATTCCAAGCTTCTTCAGTTTTTAAATCCCAACGCGGTCATCCCACAGGCACACCCGGCAAATATATACGGCCTCGAAAGGGAATGACTGTATATGGCTTTGTCGAGAGCTGGAAACGGTAGACTGCCTGCTCCTCAGCCCAGATGCCTGTTCCATTGCCGCAAGTTAGTAAAGAACGAGATAGAAATCGCGAGAAGAAATACTAATCAACGTCGAGCTCGTGATGCCTACTGCGGGCCATCGATCACGAAACTGATGCTTGCGCTGGTGGCAAAAAAGCGTGGGCGGATAGAGGATGACCTGATCCAGTGTCTCAGGCGGACGTTAACTGAGCAACTCACCAATCAACCCCTTCCACCGCGTGATTTCGAAAGTCAATTGTGTCTCTCTCTTGCGAGCTCTGTAGTGGCTGCGGGTAAAGAAGTGCTGGGAAATCTTCTGATAGTTGGAGCCTAGTAGTTGGAGGCAGAGCAGGGAGAGTCCCAGTAACTAACACTGCAAACTTCTGTGTCTGCTCGACCGGCAAATGTTGGCATTGAAATACCACTTTCTCTGCTATGCTTCCCGCTTCAACCCAAGACTCGATCCGTGGAAAAAAGTGAAGAATCAAGAAGACGAACAGCCGGTTTGGATGTGACGTCAGGCCCGCCAATAAAATGCCTTCAGAAACTGATATTTCCACGCAGGCAACTAACTACGGAGAAGAGGAATAGTCAACATTATTCCGCATGAATGCTTGCAGCCCCTTTCTTGGCCCCAAATCCGGAATGCAGTGCAACTCGAGATTTGTAGCCTCACTCTGACCCTCTCTGCTATGTGTTGGTTTCACCGCGTTGCTTGACTAACCTTCCAGAGATTGAGGCTAGCGTTGAAATCGGAGGTCTGAGCTTGCAATTGCTGAGGTACAGGGCAACTAGTTCTGGGGTAACTAACTAGTTAACTAAATGTCCCGAGCTGGTTGTACCAATGTAGGTCCAACCGCCGATGACGGTCAAATGGATCCGAATCATGTTGCCAGACACGATCGATTTGTTTATGTTCGGGGACAGCCCTGAAAGCTTCATTCTTGGTGATTGTGTTGCTGTCCTCATGACATAGAGCAGACGTCAACCGCCGCTGTCCTTCCTCTGCCACTAATATCCATTTATGTTCATACACCTCATGTCAAAGACGCCGACGCCTCTACCTCTCAATCCCGTTGCAACACCATCCGCCATGAAGCCTGGAGATGCTGTACGTCCAAGTCCTGAAAGGAGCCGAACCGTGTATGAACAAGGCTTTTGTATTTGGGCAAGGCTTCACGCTCGCGCTCAACAGGAACCCAGCCTGCCCCAAATCTGTTTCCACCTGCAGGCCGCAGTTCAAAAGTTACCTCCCTTGGTCCATGGTCTGGATCTGAAGTATAAGTATAATTGCCTCTACGCTACCGGCACATCGATTTGGGGAACTTCGCGGGGGCAATGCAAGATACCTTGTGTGGAAAAAAGACTTGAGCTACCAGTTTCTATCAACCACTCAACACGACTTGCTCTCTCTGAAAGCCCGGAACCAACATATCAGAAGTGGTTTAATCATGAAGACAATCACATTTCTGTGCTAATATTGGCGTGGAGCTACATATTCTCAGCGCGTTGGGTCGAGCTCATGCCCAAAGCCGAGCTGACTTATACTGAGAAGCGGGCGGAGTATGGCGACAACAAGGAAGACGAACGAACTGAAGTTATGGTAAATGTAGGAGATGTTGATGATGATGCAGCCAGATGGTGGGCCGCTGTTTTGTCTCCTGGTGAGGGATGGCAGGCTTACCTGACATGGGAGGGAACAAAATTCCTATCACCTTGGTCGACTGCTCTGGAAACAAGGGTGAAATTCACGCTTTCCTGCCGCAAACCCCTCTGGCATACATCAACTACCGCACCTTCATTCGCCACTGCCCTTCGTTTTCTCGCGGAATACTGCAATCTACACAACATTGCTGGCCAAACCCTGGCGGCACTCTCTTCAACATTGTTTCTTCCTTTGTTGAATACAAAAAAGAATCCAACATCACTCCCGAAACCCGATACTCATAAGAGGCAAAGGCTGAAGCCACCCGTATCAGAGCCAACCGAGCAGAGGCCACTTGACTTTATATTGGAGCAGATAGTGCCGGAGCTGGACAAACTATTGACATTGAGTTGCAACGCACGGGGTCTACGCTCTCTTTTGTCAAGTGTATTCTATGAACCTGGAATACCTTGCAATGTCGTGAGCCCATGGTTGCAATCTACATTCGCTGTTCTTGACTCTGTCGAGGATGACCATCTACTTGCTCAAATCCTGATGAACCGAGTCCCGCAAGTTTCTTTCCTTTTGGCTTGGAGGTATAATTGTGGGCACGCACAAGGATGTCCTCCAGTATGGTCGATTCGGCCTTTCTCCGATTGAACTCCATGCTGCATCATGGTGTGGCGTCACACAGTCGTTTTTACAGGAACCTGTGTCCCACCCGCCAATAAC